GACAGCAACAGGACAAATCCAACTACTTTTGACATTCCACTTCAAGCCTCTAGGTTCTTGTTGTGTGCTTCCAAGTTGTTTTTTCGGTACTGTTACATTATCCGGGCAGAGGCCACAAGGTGGTGCTAGAGAGAGAAGGATAGTCCATTTTACTGGGTTGGAGGGTAGATTGAAGGAGGAAAACAATTTCCCCTGTTTTCACTAGTTATTCCCTTCCCCCTTCCCATATCATAAACAGGGGTTGTTTCCATGAAGGGGACATGGGTGGGGGGAATAACAGGAAAAAGGGGAGATGTCTTTCTTCCTTCAACCCACCCTCCTCCCCCATAAAATGGATACTTTTTTCTCTCTCTAGCGCCGCATTGTGGCCTCCGCCGGTCACTGCTGCTTCCTATACAAAAGACAGAAAAACTATTTCTTGATTTAAGTTGCTGACGTGCTGGCTGATACCCAAACAGGGGATGAGCTGGAGATGTCTCTGCCTTGGTCCTTTCACTATTGGCTGCTACTTCCCGGCGGATGTCAGGTGGTGCAATATCGGCTAGACAGTGTAATTTCTCCAGTGGTGTAGGGCATAGGGTGTAGTGTAGATGAACCCCTTGATAACAGGGTTTGAATCCCTGATCAGCCATAGAAAACCCATGAGCTGACCTTGGGCATTTTTTCACCTCATGAAAAATCTCCATGATAAGGCTATTATTGTTGTGATATTGTAGATATTGCATGCTTTTATTTATGTGGAATGTGTCCAGGGGAGGGCGACTAAAATGTTAAAAGGTCTGGAGAACAAGCCCTATGAGGAGCGGCTTAAGGAGCTGGGCATGTTTAGCCTGAAGAAGAGAAGGCTAGAGAGGGGATATGATAGCCATGTATAAATATGTGAGAGGAAGCCACAGGGAGGAGGGAGCAAGCTTGTTTTCTGCTTCCCTGGAGACTAGGACGCGGAACAATGGCTTCAAACTACAAGAGAGGAGATTCCATCTGAACATGAGGAAGAACTTCCTGAGTGTGAGAGCCGTTCAGCAGTGGAACTCTCTGCCCCGGAGTGTGGTGGAGGCTCCTTCTTTGGAAGCTTTTAAACAGAGGCTGGATGGCCATCTGTCAGGGGTGATTTGAATGCAATATTCCTGCTTCTTGGCAGGGGGTTGGACTGGATGGCCCATGAGGTCTCTTCCAACTCTTTGATTCTATGATTCTATCAAGGAACATGAAAGGCACTGCAGACTACTTCAACCAGAGAAGTCAGCCACAGCAGAGCACCTGATGAACCAACCTGGACACAGCATATTATTTGAGAACACAGAAATGCTGGACCACTCTCACAACCACCATGTCAGACTACACAGAGAAGCCATTGAAATCCACAAGCATGTGGACAATTTCAACAGAAAGGAGGAAAGCATGAAAATGAACAAAATCTGGCTACCAGTATTAAAAAACTCTAAAATTACAACAGCAAAACAGAAGAGGGAAAACTATCAGGCACATCTAATCACCTCTCATCAAAAGATTCTGTGAGAACTGTTCAGCAGTGGAACTCTCTGCCCCGGAGTGTTGTGGAGGCTCCTTTTTTGGAAGCTTTTAAACAGAGGCTGGATGGCCATCTGTCAGGGGTGATTTGAACGCAATATTCCTGCTTCTTGGCAGGGGGTTGGACTGGATGGCCCATGAGGTCTCTTCCAACTCTTTGATTCTATGATTCCCCCAGGCACTGCAAGGCCATCAAATGCTCATCAGTGTGGTCAGTTGAAACATTCACACCTAGTTCCAATAGACAAGAGTCCTTTGTCCCACCTTGGTCATTCCACAGATATATAAACCCTTTTCCCTAGTTCCAACAGACCTCACTACCTCTGAGGATGCTTGCCATAGATGCAGGCGAAACATCAGGAGAGAATGCCTCTAGACCAGGGGTCCTCAAACTAAGGCCCGGGGGCCGGATACGTATATCATATATTATAAGTCTATGAACCGATGAGTAATAAGCAGGATGATCATAACATGATTAGCTCATGCAAAAAGGTTTATTTTCAACCTCTAAATGCATCTCAGATTTGTCTACGTCAGCGCTTTGAAGTGTTTTCCTGCCATTCCATATAAAGAGCAGAACTCCGTAATAACACTATAATGTATTGTCGAAGGCTTTCATGGCCGGAATCACTGGGTTGTTGGTTTTTTCGGGCTATATGGCCATGTTCTAGAGGCATTCTCTCCTGACGTTTCGCCTGCATCTATGGCAAGCATCCTCAGACGTAGTGAGGTCTGTTGGAACTAGGAAAATGGGTTTATATATCTGTGGAAAGACCAGGGTTCCACACTCTCTGTTAGCAGAGTCTTTCTTTATTATAAATTCATAGTGGAAAACATCAAAAGTAAGAAAACAAACATCTTGCATCAGATATCAGACCCTAAACAAAACATTTAGAGTCCCAAACTCCAAAACGCCATAGCTTCTCCAAAAGCTCAAGGCTATAGCAATAGCAGAACGCTGAGGGACGCTGAAAGCTGCTGAAGGCTGCTGCTGCTGGCTGCAGGCAGATGCAACACATTATAACCACAGTAATTAGATCCACCTGCACCCAATTAACCAAAACCACATCACAAGCATTTCAGCAATTAAAGATACAAACTTACTTATACATACATAACCCAAATACATACAATGAACAGATAAAATTTTGCACATTTTTACAGTTCTCCTGACACTCCTCCACAAAATTATATCAGTTCATCATAAATTCAGTCTTTCACAAAATTGGTTATGTTTATCACATGTAAGAGGCTTCGTCAAAATATCTGCAACATTTTCAACAGAAGACACATAGTTAAGAACAATTCTTTTGTTCTTTACAAATTGTTGCACGTTAGAATATCTAACATTGATATATCTAGATTTCGTTTTTAAATTTTGACTCTTACACAATGCGATGCAAGTTTGAGAATCTACATACACCTGTATTGGTAATTCCAAATCAATGTTCATATTTTTAATTAGAGATTCAATCCACTCTACTGATGTCAAGGCATCAGATAATGCTGAAAACTCAGCTTCTCCTGTGCTTAAAGCAACTAAGTTTTGTTTTCTACTTTTCCAGCAAACTGGTGTATTGGCATATTTTATTATAAATCCTGTGACAGATTTATTTCCTTTTAAATTAGCGAATGAACTATCGCAATGGATTTCCAAAGACTGTTTGTCATTTGGGCAAATTCTGAATATTTTTTCAGCTGTTTGCTTTAAATATCTTAAAACTCTTTTTACTCCGGCCCAGTCTGTTTGTGAAGGATTTTGAATCCTTTGACTTAGGATACCAACAGAAAACGAAATGTCGGGCCTAGTATTGTTTGCAATATACAATAAAGAACCAAGAACTGAACGATAAATAAAATTGTTATCAAACACTTCTCCATCTACATGTTGTAAGAACTGAAGAGCCATAGGAGTATTAACAGTGTTTGCATTTTCCATTCTGGTTCTTTTCAAAAGATCATAAATCTTATCAGTTTGGTTTAATTCAAAACCAGTTTCATTTCTAGCAATATTTATGCCAAGATATCTATTAACATCTCCAAGATTTTTGATTTTCAATACTTTGCTTAAATTCTGAAAAACTTCCTCAATTTGTTCTTCAGATCCAATACATAACACATCATCCACATAAATTATAATAAACATTTGTGTATCTCCACTTCCTTTTGAGTACAAACAAGGATCAAAACTATTTGCAACAAAATTTAACTTTGTCAACACTTTGTCTAAATGTAAGTTCCAATTTCTTGCACTTTGTTTGAGACCATAAAGACTTTTTTTAAGAAGATAAGTCCCATCAGGAAGATCAGATTCAAAACCTGGAATAGCAGAAATATAAACTTTTTCTTCTAAATCTGCATGAAGGTATGCAGTATTCACATCAAAATGTTTAACTTTTAAATTTCTATTACTGGCAATTGCAAGGGTTATTTTTAGTGCTTCACCAGATACTGTGGGGCTAAATATCTCATTAAAATTTTCTCCATATATCTGTTCAAAACCTCTAGCAACTAATCTGGCTTTGTACAAATAACCACCATCCTTTGTTTGTTTACGTCTATACACCCAACGACAACTTAGAACTTTTGCATTATCAACTGTTTTAGATTTCTCCATAACTTGCAAATCTTTCAAAGAATCAAATTCACTTTGCATTGCTTTTAACCAAAGCTTTCTTTCAGTCTCTTCTCTATTCAACATCTCTTTATAACTTTGAGGTTCAGACCAGTCATGGTCTGGTACTTTCACAACTTCACAATGATATCTCTTTGGAGGTATACCCTTAGTTATCCTAGAACTACGTCTAGGAATGGTCCTAGTACTATCTCCTCCATCAGTCTCATCAGTCTCTGAATTACTAGAGCTAGTACTTTGTGAACTAGAGGATTCAGCTTCAGCTTTTCTCTTCTGAGATTCTGTCCTTTTAATTACAGGACTACTGCTTTGTAACTGACTAGAAACAGATTCTTGCTTCACTTGCACTTGTGAACCAAAATGTGTATCATGAGATGTGCTTGGTTGTATATCTTGCTGTGCAGACTGTTGTGAAACTGATTGCACTTGTGTAGCAGGTTGCTGTG